GGGGGGATGTGGGGGGTGGGGGCGGAGGCAGCGTGAGGTGGGACCACTCACTGTCACCCCTGCAGAGTGGGGATTTGAACCCAAGTCTGTGAACCTTAGAAAACAACCTAACCCCAAGGATGGTGCCTTGGGGGGCAGGCGCATTTCAACTCCCCATCACAGTGGGGGGTACTGAGCCCCTCACTCAGGCCTCCACTGTCACTCCAGAGCTGGCTTGTCAGGGTCGAAGAGGAAACTGGGGCCTCAGTGGGCCAAGGCCAGCACCCCACTCCCCCAGGCCCGAGCCGTGGTGCGGGGCGGCTGGGGTAAGGCGTTGGAGGGGGCGGGCAGCTCGCTTACCCATGGGGTCTGAGGAGTCCGTGATGATGACGTCAAAGGCATCCTGGTTCTGCTTCATGAACTCAAAACCGTCTCCCACGTGGAGGGTCAGTTTTGGGCTGGAGTAGCCAACAGCCATGCCCGGTAGGAACTTCTTAGAGACTTGAATGACATCCTTGGGGGACATCGGGAGGAGGGGACAGAGGCTCAGTACCAGACTGGGCCATGATGGAGGAGGGCTCTGGCGTCAGAGCTGCGTGGGTCCCCCCGGCAGACCCTGCAAAGTCAGGTCACTTTGGGCACGGCAGGCACTGTCGGGAACTTCAGGGAGAATGCTGGCACCTCTCTCAACATCTCATTGTGAGCTGGCTCCCCTGCCGCATTTCCTTCCCCCCTAAAAACCAAACAGCCCCTCAGATGGTGGGCCTGCTAGGCATTGGATTCTTGACCTGCTCAGCTTCCCAACCAAACCTTCCCACCCTCCGTTGTTCAGGTAAGGACACGGGCCCGGGAATGCTGAGCAGCTCACCTGACGGCACACTGCCATCAGGGCAGAGATGGCACTGCTATTGACTGCGGGTGCGGGGTGGGGGGCGGGGGCAGGGACAGAACACAACCCACAACCCACCTCCTGCTTTGTGCACAAACCTCGTCAATCTCACACTGGACCACGGCCTCCACGGAGGGGTGCTTCACCACTTCCCGCAGGACGCCTCCATCCCCACCCCCGATGATCAGCACCTGGTGGGCGGTGGGGAGAGAGAGTGAAGGTCAGGGGCAGGGGCTCCGGGGCACTAGCAAGGCTGCTCAGATGGAACAAGGTCTCCAGCACTTCAGAGTTCACCTGCCTCAGGTTCCTCATACTGCCAACCTCACCCACCACTCTCCAAGTCCTTGGCAGTGCCATCTGACTCGGTGGCACGTTGGGCTGACCCCTGTTCAGTGGGGCGCTGGTCCCGGGCTCAAGGCTGAGACAACCTCCCGGGGCTTGCAGACCCTGGCCCGGGGGTGGCGAGTACCTTGCGTGGGTTGGGGTGGCTGCAGAGGGGCAGGTTGGCGATCATCTCCTGGTAGGAGAACTCGTCCCTCTCGGTGCACTGGATGACGCCGTCCAACACCAGGACGTTGCCGTAGGTTTTACTGTGGGCGGGGCCACCAGGAGCAGTGAGCAGATCTGTCCTGGGAGGGTCAGGTCTCCCTCCACCCCGCCAAGGGGTCCTGGGGCTGAGTGCAGGGGTGACACGTGGCGAGGATCACCAGGCCGGCCAGCTGGGTGGGGGCTGGGTTGGGCTCTGACGTGTCCCACACTGACACGTGGGGATCCGGACTCTGGGGAGCGTGGCTCAGCCCCCCTCCGGGTCCCCAGCCCAGGCGAAGGGCTGCGGGCTGGGGCGGGGACCGCGCGCGGCGCGGGCCCGGCTCATAGCAACTTCTGACAGTTTTGCAGGGGGAGGTGCGGGCCACCGCGCGGCTCCGGACGGGTCCCGGCTGCGGACCCGCTCGGAGAGCGGCGGCTCCGGGGCCGAGGGGTCGGAGGCAGTACCTGCGGAAGACAAGGATGTCCTGGTACCGCGAGCGCTGATGGTGCAGCAGCTGCTCCACCTGCAGCGACAAGGCC